ACTCTTTGCAACTCCATGGATGGTAACCCACCAGGCTCCTCTGTCCAAGGGATTTTCCAGGCAAGAATACTGAGTGGGTTGCCATTTCCTCTTCCAGGGAATCTTCCCGACTGACCCAGGGATGGAACCTACATCTCTTGTGTCTTCTGCATTGGCAGGCAGATTCTTTCCACTGCACCACCCGGGAAGTCCCCCTTAGTAAGTCCCCCCAAACCTCAATAATTTGTTCCTCTAAGAATTCTGAGGCAGGTCCATTTTTTTTTCCCCTCAGGAGTCAATCTCAGGTGTTAAAAAGTGGTCCAGTTACTTACCCTTCCAAGACAGATGCATTTTGGTAATTTAAAACAATCTCATGAGGTGTCAGGTCAAAACTTTGAAACGTATCCAATTTAAAACTTCTGTGACAAGTTAGAGGAGCAGGATGCGGTGGAAGTGGGAGAGAGCTCCCAGAGGGTGGGGACAGATGGATACCTGTGGCTGAATCATGTCGATGTATGGCAGAAACCGACACAACATTGTAAAGCAATTATCCTCCAATTAAAGATTAATACATTTAAAAAAAACCAGTCAGCTGACAGGATACTACAAAATCCCCCTAAACACCTCAAATCAAAAGGACTGATTTTATGAAAACAATTTAAAAAAAATTATTTTTCAATCAGGAAAATTTCTCAAGAAAAAAATAAATTAATAAAGCTTCTTCCCTCTCTCCAGCCTCCAGCCTTGGACTTCCTGAGCCACAGACAGGAAGAAGGGGTTGGGCCTGGTGTACCTGTGACTTGGCCTGAGTGGGTGGCAGGACCACCCCCCGGGGAGGGAGGGGTGACTGGGCAGGGGTTTCCTGCTCACTGGTCCACAGCCTTTGACGATTCTGAGGCAGTCTCAGATTCAAGGTCAAGTCTCTTACTGAGACCCTCAAGATAGACTCAGCATGCCCTCCAGGTTCGGGGGCACGACCCCACCTGACCCCTCAGTCTGCATCCTTCGCCCAGCCCTGCCCCTTCCAGAGCCCACCCCAACTCCGCCAGGCCCTCTTTCTCTCATCTTTTACCCTCTCACTCGCTGTTTCCAATGGCTGGAACTTTTCCTGCAGCCCTGGCCTGGCCGCATCCCACTCATCTTCCAGGTGAGAGGACCCCGTCTTTCCTGACGAGCCTGTCCACCTGGGCGAGGAGCCTCCTGTGTGCTCTGGTGTATTACAGCTGCTGCCTTTCCTGCAGCACTGGAAGATCTTTGCAGAACACTGCCAGATGCAGGAACCTAAAAAATAGCCAGAGATTGAATGAGTGAATGAGAGCCAAGATTCTGCAGCCTCGAGTAGCCAGGAGCAGCAAGCAAGCTGCCATGCAGACCACTGTCTTAACAGCACTGTGTCTAGCCTGGTCAGCTGCCTTACAGCGGACCTGCAGCCGTTGATGGCCAGCGTGGGTTGACTCACAGACTTGTCTTCCCCAAAGTTTCCAAGTTCTTTGGAAAAGGTTTATGTCTTGTTTGTCTTAGCAGAGGCAGCCCTTAGGCTAGCGTCCTGGGGTCTCTAAGCTTTTGCTGAAAGAATGAATGGATGAATGGATGATGGATGGATGGGTGGATGGATGATGGAAGAGGAGAAGGATGGTTGGAAGCGTGAATGAATGGATGATTAATTAAGTGTAAATAGAAATCTGACTGGGAAACATTCAACCAATTTTTGGAGTTAGAACTCAAGTTCTACTTTGAGCTAAAGGTTATATATCTTTAATAGATTGTATTTTGTGTTAGTTTCTTCTGTATTAACCCTCATTCCAGATATAAAGCTGTATCCCTGGTGGCTCAGATGGTAAAGAATCTGCCTGCAATGCAGGAGACCTACATTCAATCCTTGGATCTGGAAGATCACCTGGAGAGGGGAATGGCTACCCACTCCAGTGTTCTTGCCTGGAGAGTTCCATGGACAGAGGAGCCTGGTAGGGTACAGTCCATGGTTGCAGAGAGTTGGACACAACTGAGTGACTTTCACTTTCATGATTTTTCTTAATCATTTACTTATTTATTCACTCAACCAGTATTTACCAAGGGATGCACCTAATGCTTCTATTATTTAATTGAATAAACTGAGCATTTACCCTAAGAAAGATTAGCTCTGACTTGATTGTGCGTTAGACTTTCTTTGTGGAATAAAATTCAGGGCAGGAGTGAGTCAGAGTGCTTTGTAAATCCTCAAAAAAGCACTGCTTTTTGAAAGAAAGTAACTGTTACTCTAATAGAACAAACTAAACAATAGAACAAATTTAACTTATTTTGCTTTTTAAAAAGTATAATATAACTTTCTCCTTTGTATATTTTTCAGATATGTCTGCAAGTCAATCTATCTATCCATCTTTCATTTCTTCATCCATCCATCCACCTAACTGCTTGCTCTCCCATTTATATATGAGTCTTAATATTTTATATGCTGCATAAAATATCCAAACACATATGCAACAGTTCTCTAAATATAGCATACAATATTTAAATGTATAAAATATGTGTATAAACATACCTTGTATATACTTCCCATTGTCAAGTGTGGATAATTAGTTGCACCAGTTAACCAGTTCTGATGATTTTAGACATGTCTCTTCCACTTGGGTGTTTTCACTTTGTGTTCACATTTAAGTTTTCAGACACACATGCGTGTGCTCTGGGTGTGCGTGGAGAGTCATCTGCCAGACTGTCACGCTGGATCTGGTCCCAGGATGCTGGGAAGCCTGTCACATTGGATCTGGTCCCAGGATGCTGGGAAGCCCCCCTCCTGGCCTGGTAGTGCCTGTGCGTGACTCGCGATGATGTATGACTGTGCCGTGGCTGGTTATGTCACGTCCCTTGATAACTCTGTATAATTAATTTGATGCCATCTGATGCAGCAGTGGCTAGACGTTTAAGAAATAAAAAGTTGTCTATGCCCCATGGAGCACATCTGTTTAATGGCATAATTCAAATTAATTTCAAACACTTCCGTAAAAGCTCATGGAACCGTTTCACATTTCTTCCTGATGTTCCACGAACCCCCTCCACCGCCCCCCTCCTCCCTCCGCCCAGTTACCACTACACTAGGCTCTGAAGAGTCACTCTGGAGTCTATTCACATGAAGCACATTTTAAACAATTCTTTATTTTTTAAAAGTTATGGAACAACAGAATTACAGAAGGAGCACCCAGAGCTCCTGAATGCCCCGCCCCTGACTTACCCAAACGGCCAGGCCTTACGTAATCGCCCTAAAATGATGACAACCAGAACCTACTGTGGATCCAACCCTATGAACTAATATGCAAATTATTCAAATTTTCACAATTGTCCCCTGCTGGCCTTCGTCTGGCCCAGGGTTTAGTTCTCATATTTCTTAGTTATCTCTGACCTGGAACATTTCTTTCGGCCTCTCTTTGTCTTTTGTGACCTCAACACTCTTTTTAAGAGTATTGGCTTATTTTTGTTTGTTTTTTGTGGACTGTCGTTCAATTTGGGATTTTGCAGGTATTCCCAAGATTAGAATGAGATTACGCATTTTGGCAAGAACACCGTGAAAGTTCTGCTGTGTCCTTCTCAGGGAATCATAGCAGGGAGCCCTTGACATGGATGAGCCTTGTGATGGGTGTTGTTAATCTGGGCCACTTGGTTGAGGGAGTACTTGTCAGCTTTCTCCACTGTCATTATTTTGTTATGGTTAATGGTATCTTGTGGGAAGATGATTCAAGGCTACTCAAAAGTCTGTTTGTCCTTGTCCCTTTGCCAACAAATGTTAGCACCCACCGGTGATTCCTGTGTACAACGATCACCACCATGATGTTGCAAATGGTGATTTTCTGTTTCTGCTCCTCCCACACTTGTTAGCTGGAATGCTCCTGCAAGGAAGAGCTACTCCTTCTCCTACCTGAAGATATATTCCGTTTGTTCTTTTTTGAATCTTGGGCTTCCCCTGTGGCTCGGCTGGTAAAGAATCCACCTGCAATGTGGGAGACCTGGGTTCCGTCCCTGGGTTGGACGATCCCCTGGAGAAGGGATAGGCTACCCACTCCAGTATTCTGGCCTGGAGAAGCCCATGGACTGTGTAGTCCATGGGGTAGCAAAGAGTCAGGCACGACTGAGCGACTTTCGCTTGAGTAACACTGTCAGGTAATAGCGGTTGTTCATCTCTGACACTGCACTAAGAGCACGTAAGTGGTCACTTGCTAAAGGTTACTTGCCGCATGGGAGTTAAAACTCTATCACTGACTGTTTTCAAATCTGTTACGTTAGAATCCATAGGTCTGTCTTGTGCATTGGATGAATCTTGTACAAATGCATGGTTTTGTTTTTCAAAGTAATGTGCTATTTCACCAAGCTCTAAAGCTCTTAGTGTTGACACATTTAATTAAGATAATCTTATTAGAGGACAAATTCTGATTCAGTGGGCCCAAGACTCTGCATTCCCAACAAACTCCCATAAGCTGTGGATTCTGTTGGTGGAGGATTGGACTTTGAGTGGCAAGGTGCGTGGGCTCAAATCTATTACCTGCTGACTTAGCCCACCCTGTGTGGGTCGTTTGATCCCTTTTGACCTTAGTTTCATCATCTCTGAACTGGGAATAACCATGATAGTACCACCTTCAAAGACTGGTACAAGAATTAAGAAAGACTGTGAACATACCTGCATAGAGGAAGAGCTGACTGATAGGCATATATTGATGCCTGTTCATTAGCAACAATAAACAATCGTCATTTGTGCTATCTGTGCGATCTGGATGAGTCCTTTTCCGTCTCCTTCCTTCAGATACTTCTCACAGCCCTGGAATGTGGGGGCCCACTGCTGGGTCCTGGGGAGCAGGTGTTGGGCACTGGGTTCCTGCCCCTGCCAGGCACACATGCGTGGAACCATCCAGTCACATCACGCGGCCTGGGGTCACGTAGAACACAGGGCACGGGTTGCAGAGGCGAGGCGAGCCTGGCCACGCAGCGGGGACCTTGTGGACGTCAGTGGGGAGGGCAAATGCCCTTGTCATGCTCACCTGAGGGCCAGGCTGGAGATCCCCGAGGTTGCAGAGCAGCTGGGCTCCTGCGGCTCCTTTCTGGGGTGCGGAGTCTCCATTGTATGAGAGGCAGCTCTCTCTGCTGGAGGCTCACTGGAGAGGGGAGAGGGGCGGTCACGGGGAGGTCACCGACCGTCACCGGGCCCGGTGGGACCCCTTCTCTCTGACGGAGCCCAGGAAGATTACTCGGAAGACCAGAGTGACCAGAGTACCAGGTTGGTACCTGCAGGCCTGCTTCTACCTGGCTTTTCTGAAGGTGCTTTACCCTCGGGGGAGGACATGGATTGATTGGTCCTGTCTCAGATGCTAAGTCTTGGCTGGTGTGACCACCTTGTCACACACTTCTCTCCATGGTCCTCACTGCACCCCTACGAGGGAGTAATTACGTTAATCACTTAGCAAAGGGGGCAGTTCTGGCTCTGAGAAGGCAAGAAAAGTGTCTGGGGCCCCACCTCATCAGGTGGTACAGTTAAAACACACACAGTTTCACCAGGACCCCAAAGCCTGCTCTTTCTGGCCTGCCTGTGGCCATAGGAAGCAAGTGTCCACACCCGTACCTGCCTTCCAGGTGCTGGGAAAGAGACGCCTGGAGGTACAGCGTGAGTTTGGCAAAGTTACTGCACAACACCCAGGGATGTTGTGTGCCCATCACTGGTAGAAAATCCATCCTTGGGGCGCCTGCAGGCAGCAGTGGGCTCCGTGCTTCGGGACTCGTGAACTGCCTCATCCAGGCTGCGTGTCACGTGCTGCCCGAATGTCTGGGGTCCTTAATCACCAACACCTGTGCTGGGCAGACACTGGACGAAGGCGCTGCTCTTGGATGGGAGGGGGCTTGTGTCAGCGTGGGAACAGCCCCTCCATCTGATCTGATGTGAAATGATTCGAAGCAGAACTTCCCTCACTCTTGGCACGGGTCTTCAATGCCAGTATTTCACTCTGCCCATTTACTGAGGGGAGAAAAACACCGAGTGCTCCACATGCTGGGCCCAAGACCCATGTGGGAGGAGGTACATGGCCCAAATTAGCACCACTTCAGCTGCAGGGACCCAAAGACCCCCAGGAGGGGTGCCTGGCAGTTGCACCCCAAAACCCCAAACACACAGCAGGTAGTGAAGGAGAGACCAACACGGCCCCATTTACGCATTGAATAAATATGCAGGATTCACAGGCTTAACTATAAACAAGATAAACAAAGCCCCTGGCCTCCTGCAGTGTGTTTTAGGATAGGTGAGACAACTATTAAAAAGAGATACAGCTATGATGATAGAAAGAGTGATGTGATGGAGAAGCTGAGAGTGTTAGACCGGGGCTTGGGCAGGCAGCTCGGGATGTGATGTTAAACTTGACCAGTGATGAGAGGAGCAGCCACGCAGTAGCCAGAGGGCAGAAGTTTCCCAGCAGCAAGGCCAGAGCTCAGGCGTGTGCACAGCCTGCTGGGCTGAGACCCTGGCTGGTGCCGTCTCTCCAATGGTGTGTTTATCTGGATCTATCATCACTCTGCCTGTCCGTCTGATACATTAACCATGTGCTCTATACAGGACAAAATGCACTAGTTAGGCATATGGAGGTGATGTCCACTTACTACTTCCATCCCTAGTTTTTTGACGACCTTCGACAAGTTACTTCTCAGAGCCTCAACATTCTTATCTCTAAAATGGGAATAGCATCTTTCTGGCAGAATAGTAAGGAATATAGTAAATATAATCGAACACAAATCTTGGTACATAAATGATGCTGAATAAATGAAATATATAGGTAGACATACCATCTATCCATGTATGCTCATTACAAGGGCTTCCCTGGTGGCTCAGATGGTAAAGAATCTGTCTGCAATGCAGAGACCTGGGTTTGATCCCTGGGTTGGGAAGACCCCTGGAGGAGGGCCTGGTAACCCACTCCAGTACTCTTGCCTGGAGAATCCCATAGACAGAGGAGCCTGGAGAGTACCGTCCATGGGGTCGCGAAGAGTCAGACACAACTGAGCGACTCAGCACAGCGCCCCAGCACACCCTCCTTGCACATGCACTTGTATGTATTAAATATGCAAGTGTGTCTAATGCCTTACACACGTGTATGCACACACACTCCTGTAGCTGATAACACTCTTGAACCACAGCTTTAACTAGGATTTATGAAGGAAACAAGGCAAAAGAAACAAAATTCATTAAAATCTGATCATTCCTTGTTTTCTGCTTAATGCTGCTTCCCCGAGCCATCTGGGAACAATTTATTGAAAACCATAATTGTGCATTAAATATTGCAATTTGTTCCAGACTCAGTCTATGGAGCGACCGAGGCGGAGGCTGACTGTATAGTCAGCGCTTCGAGCAGCCCCGGCACTTCCCCACCAGACGTGTTTCATCGTCTCCACGGCCCCCTCCGTCTTTCAGGATCCCATCAGGAAAAGAAACACTGGTTTCAATAAAACATATTGTACAGGAGGAAACCAACAGCCTGAATGTAAGGCATCTCTGGGTTCGGTGCCAGTCTGCTGAGAAAGGGGCTTTCTTTCTTATTGGATGGAGGGTCCCAAGGACCCCTAAGAATGCTACAGCTCCATCCTGGGGAAGGAGAGCTATGTCTAATGGCTCAGGCCTTTAGCCCCTAACTTCCAGCCTGCCACGAGGAGAGGGCTTCCCCCAGGATGGCTTGGCTTCGGGAGATCTGGTAACTGTCCCCGCTGCTTTGTGGGTCCCCAGAATGGGGTGTCTGTGGGGGCAAAGATGGGACAGGAGCGAGGATGCTTGACTTTGGTGTTCTCCCCGGATGGAGCTGACTACTGTCGGGTATATGCCCTGGTTCAGCAGAAGGGATGTGTTTTCTCAGTCCTGAAAGAAAGAAAGAAAGAAAGTGAAGTCGCTCAGTTGTGTCCGACTGTTTGTGACCCCATGGATTGTAGGCCACCAGGGTCTTCTGTCCATGGGATTCTCCAGGCAAGAATACTGGAGTGGAGTGCCATTTCCTTCTCCAGGGGATCTTTCCTACCCAGGGATTGAACCCAGGTCTTCCATATTGCGGACAGACACTTTACCATCTGAGTCACCAGGGAAGCCCATGAACTAGTCTTGAACGAGCATTTAAATAAAAGCAAAAGGAAACTATCAACATGGAAACGCTGGGTTAAAAGTAGGCAGAGTAGCTGAAGCTTGGGAGATAGGACACAGAGAGGGAAATGGACAGTGCTTTAGATGGTGTGAGTTGAGAATCCCTGTTTCCTCATGCGGAGGCTGGAGTCTTGAGCATGTAAGGAACTTGGTCCAGTTTCTCCAGCAGCGAGTCTCAAGGTGGAATTCAAACCTCAGCCACCTGGCTCCGCTGGGGCATCTCTGCGGTGGGAAGTGGTCTCGGGGGTCCCCTCTGTCTGCTGGCACACGCACCTGCCTTTTTGTGCTCAGGTTCCTGGAGGGGCAGCAAGTTGGCTGCTCCCCACTCCAGCTGCGCTCAAAGCCCCGGACGCACCTGGCTGAGAGATGGCTGAGCGGTGGGGGAGCGAGTGGATGAAGTGGGTGAAGGAACCTGGCCTCCAGCACCATCACAGTCTTCACCACTGTCCTGTTTCGTGGCACTGGGTATGGTCAAGCATGTGATGGCAGCTTCTCCCCTTCTCTTCCCTTCCCACCTGCTCCCGTCCTGGGATCCAGCTTCTACTTGGCATCAGCAAGTGATGACTTCCGGAATAAAAGGCCCAGGAGTCGGCACTTTTGTGGTTCCTGTCTGGCACCCCATATTGTTCTGCTGTGACTTTTGGCCGGTGAGCTCCAGGACGAAGACAAGTTAAAGGGCAGTTTCTGTGACCTTGAAGGACAGAGGTCGTGGGGGAAAGATAAGGCAGTCATGAGATGCTTCTTCTGGAGTCACTTCTGTGAGTCCCACTTGCCCTGGTAGAAGGAAGACTCCAGGGTCAGGGGACTGAGTGGGCAGGCGGCTTCGATCCCCCACGTGCATGTCCTGGGAGAGGCTTGGGGAGGCAGCTAAAGACAAAGACTGCACCTGCTTCTCATGGTCAAGGTCGGAAAAGGTCTCAGAGCGGAGGGAAACGGAACCCTGGGGATGGGAAGGAAACGGGTCGGGAGAGGAGTGGCCCGCTGGGGGGAGAGGTGGCGGGATTTGGGATGCAGGATGCAGGATGCAGGAGCCAGGACAGCATTGTTCCCGCTGCGCACAAGGACCTGGTGAGGAACGGGAGAGCGGTTTGCACCTGGAAGACCTTGGTGTCCTGGGACTCCCACTTTCTGCTCTATCCGCACCTGCTGTCCTGTTGATCCCGAAGCCGCTGGGATTCCAGATGGCCGGGGTGGGAGGCTGCCTCTCCACCGAGCTCACGCTGAAGTGCATGTAGATCCAGTCCCCGTGCAGTGAGTGTTTCCAGACCTTTCCTGAGCTCGAGGTCTTAGCCTCATGCAGCTGTCCAGCTAGGAGATCAGAAAGTAAGAGGGGGAATGTCTCAATTTGGTCAAGTGTATGTACTTAAGGTTTACACAGACACACACACCTGTACACAGAAAACAATCTAGAAAGTAGTAAAAGTAATAAAGTAAGAAACCACAAAGTTAAAAGTTACTCTATTTTGTTGTCACTTTTTCCTTTTATTTTTACATTAAAATTTTTTCTATAATAATCAAAAGGACACAAATGCCATGGTTAAAACAAACCATTATGACTCAGATATTGAAAAATACAAAGGTTTAGGTAATTTTTGGAGGGGGTAGCATGGCTTCACTGGGCTCAGAGGGCAGGTTCCTTGAGTCCTGAGCCTGCCTTTCCTGCCCCGCGGCACCCCCTTACCCCTGCCTCCTGCTGACTGTGTCCACCTGGTCATGGTCGTTAGTTCCCCAGTGCCTCAGTTTCCCTAACTGAAAGAGTGAAATTAATAACATCTTCCTGAGAGTCGAGAAGTTAAGTTTTTATGCTTAGGAAACATATCATCGCTTATTCAATCTACATATCAACATACTTATAATGCACTAGGTTTTAACCAGTACATTTTCATCTACTAATGCTGTGCGTTTCAATAACCAAATTGAACACTAGCAGAGAAGAAAGGGATAAAGGGTGAGTGTGTTCGTAGCATTTTATTTCTTACAAAAAGCAAAGGGTGAAGTTGTTACGGCAAGGGAAATGGTGCACCCCTGAGATTAGAGCCTGGAGCATCAGAAATGGTGTTGGATGGTGAACTCGATGAGGAAACAGTCTTTGCTCTTGTCTAGTTCAGGGCCGACTGAATGGCCCAGCAGGCAAGCTCGAGTTCCCGGGGTCCCCTGAGACTCTGAGCTCGTCTGGCTGGGTCACGTCCCTAGGCCACTGTCCCCGGGGTCACAGGAGTTGAAGCCCAGCTCTGCTCCCCCACATGGATGCTCCTTCCTCTCCGTGTCTTTTGCTGTTGCTGCCATTTAGTCACTAACTCCTGTCTGACTCTTTGCAACCCCATGGACTGTAGCCTGCCAGGCTCCTCTGTCCATGGGATGTCCCAGGCCAGAACCCTGGAATGGGTTGCCATTTCCTTCTCCAGGGGATCTTTCTGATCCAGGGATGGAACCTGAGTCTCCTGCCTTGGCAGGCAGATTGTTTACCACTGAGCCACCTGGGAAACCCTGCTAAGTCTGTGATGAGGCTCTGTGGGACAGACTAGTCCAGCTTTACCAGGAAGAAGCTTCCTGCATCCACGCACGCTGGTTGCATGCCACTTCCCAAGCTGAAGTTTCATTCCCTGGGGGTGGCAGATTAAGCAAACAAACATAGAGTCTTGCCTAGTTAAATTTGAATTCGGATAAACAAATTTTTTCTTACTGTAAGTATATCTCATGCAATATGTGGGATATATTTACCCTGAAACAGACTTGCAGTTGCTTCTCTGAAATTCAGTTTTAACTGGGCACCATGTATGGTGTCTGGCAGTCCTCCGTGCCCCACAGATCAGTGCCAGCACCTGGAGAAGTTTTTAGATAGACCGCAGGACATGTGCTTAGAAGGGGAAGGGAAAAAATACCAGGTTCAGTGAGAGGTGGAGAACTAATTTAAGGTCAGCAAATTACAGCCCATGGCATAAATCTGGCCCATCCTTTGTTTTTATAAGTAAAGTTTTATTGGAATGCAGCCATGCCCATTTGTTTATGAATTGTCTTCAATCATGCTGCAGTAGCAGAGTGAAATAATTGTGACAGAGACCATACGGTCCATAAAACCCAAAATATCTACGGTCTGCCCTTAACAGAAACAAGCGTGCTGACGCCTGATTAGGGGCGTGGATGGAAGGAAGGAGAGAGCCAGCCCTGTTCCAGATACCTAGATAGCATCACAGACTCAGTGGACATGAGTTTGAGCAGATTCCCAGAGATAGAGGTGGAAAGAGGAGCCTGGGGTGCTGCAGTCCATCCGGTCGCAGAGTCCGACACAACTTGGCGGCTGAACAACAACAACAAAAATAGGAAAACACAGAGTGGATGTTCCCTGCCTGAAACTCACCGAAGGCCACCCTCGATGCCTTATTTGGGAGGAAGTGACTAAAACTGGCCGTTCACTTCCTGTCGGCAACTCTCCTGTGCTCCCTTCCTGTGTGTCCAGGTGTCTAAGCTGGAGGTCACTGGAGGGGACATTTTAGCCCCGGGTGACCACAGACAGGTCCTACATGAGCCCAGAGATTCAACCTATGCTTTTCCTCTTTAGTCCAAATCTTCAGCCCCGTCTACCCCATTTACAGCCAGTGGAGGGAGGAATTCTCTCACTCGCCCTCGGCTTGTTCCTGCCATAATTCATTATTTTCCCATCATGTATTTAGCACACTGCTGTGTTTCACAGGGCTCGATTCAGTCCATTTGTCTAGGACTAAATTGCTTTTTTTTAAAACTTAAGCAGCAAACAAAACTGTTATCTAAGATCCTAATGTATAAAACTGGTAACATTGCCTGCGATAACCTTCAGGCAGATACAGCTGATCATGTATGTATGTGTGTATGTACGTGGGGCTTACCAGGAGGCTCTAGTGGTAAAAATCTGCCTGCCAATGCAGGAGATGCAAGAGTCACTGTTTCAATCTCTGGGTTGGGAAGATCCCCCAGAGTAGGAAATGACAACCCACTCCAGTATTCTCGCCTGGAAATTCCATGGGCAGAAGAGCCTGGTGGGCTACAGTTCATGGGTCACAGAGTCAGACATGAGTGAATGATTCAGTGCATGTATGTGCGTATGCATGAACATACGTATTTGAAAATCTTCATCGTTTACAGAACTGTGGGCACCTGGCCATCTATGAAGGCAGAGCTAGAAATCCCCACTGTGCCCTGCATACCTACCTGAACCTCCAGCCTCACCCCTCCCAAACCCTCTCTCAGGTTACTGGGAGGGTGGCCAGATTTTTTCAGCCCATTGGCAGCACTGAGCCCTAGGGTTCCAGCTTTGAGGGATGCTGTCAAATTGATTTTAACAAGATTGAGTTTAATAAGATTCAGCTGAATTTCCTGGCAGACACAGGTACTAAAAGTGGATTGTTGGAATACAGTCTCTGACCCCATCTTCACTGATTAAGGTCTCTAGGATAGATTGGAGACCTGCTATCTCAGGGGGATTATTCTGGTTCCCCCTGGGTCCTGGGACCATCACCCTGGCATCTGGTGGGTTCCTCCGGGGGAGCTCACCAGCGTGCAAACAGAACCGGAGCCTCTCTGGGCAAAGCTGGAAGGCATCCTGGCTCCACTCGATGTTTTCTTCTTTCCTGAAACTGAGAAGGACGGGGTCTTCGGGTGGAGGTCCTCTTTACATGGATCCCACACAAGGACTCACCCGCCTTCCACCTGAATGTTCTTCCATGTCAGCAGCCCCCAAACTGGGCTGTATATTAAATTCATACCCACCTCCCCATTACCACTAACCATAAAGGTTTTGGTGCTCAGATGCTCAGTCGTGTCTGACTTTGTGACCCATGGACTGTAGCCCGCCAGTCTCCTCTGTCCATGTGATTTTCCAGGCAAGAATACTGGAGTGGGTTGCCATTTCCTTCTCCAGGAGATCTTCCCGACCCAGGGATCGAACCCAAGTCTCTGGTGCTTCCTGCATCGGCAGGTACATTCTTTACCACTGTGCCACCTGGGAAGTCCGCATGCTACACTCGACCTTAGCCCAAAGGCTGAAAAACAATGAGTTCAAAGTTGTTCTGCAAGTCTGCCCATCAAGTATTTGAAGATGGTTCTCTTATTCTCCTTAAGTCTTTTCTCTCCCATTGTTACTCATTTTCCCTTTCATTTCATATATATCCTGGGGTTTGGACTTCCCCAGAGATGCCCTCTCAACACCCTCCAGACTGCCTTCTTCTTTTTAAATTAATTTTTATTGGAATATAGTTCCTTTACAATGTTGTGTCAGTCTCTGCTGTACGGCCAAGTGAATCAGCCATGTGTACACATATATCCCCTCGTTTTGGGATTTCCTTCTCAGGTAGGTCAGCCTGCCTTCTTGGGGTCTGGTGTTTGCTGCTAAACCTGGCACTTTGGGTTTGTACTTTCTGGAGTAGGACCGAGGTAAACATGGCCTCTGATCTAGACACCATACTCATGACCTGCTGGCATTTCACTAGCTCATTGCAGACCACTCACAGGAACTTTGCAGTTGACCAACATACATAAAATTTTTCACATGCATGTTTCTTCCAGTTGAATCTGTTTTACTGTGTACGTTTTGGTGTATGTTTGAACCCAAGGACAGATCTTTAAATGATCACTTTTAAATTTCTTCATGTATTTTCACTCCCTTATTCTAGTTACCAAGATTTCTAGAGGCTTTCTCTTGGTCATGGTGTTGAATTATGTCCCCACTAAAGAGACTTCAAATCCCCACCCCTGTGCCTGTGAAGGTGACCTGACTTGGAAATAGGCTCTTTGCAGGTATAATGAAGCCAAGACGAGGTCACCCTGGAGAAGGGTGGGTCGTGATCTAATGATCACTGTTCTCAGAAGAAGAGGGACAGACACACGGGGATGCCACTGGGCCTGGAATGAGGCAGCTTCAGGCCTAAGGTGAGGGTCACCACCTAGTGGAAGCAAGAGGACCCTCCCTGGGTCTTTAGAAGGAGCAAGGCCCTGCCAACCTTTGATCTTGGGTCTCTGGCGTCCAGAATGAGAGAGAAGAAAATCCTTCTGTTCCAAGCCCCCACGTGGTCAGCGCTTTGCTATGACAGTCCCAGAAGACCGACACACTCGTGCCAAACGCTATAATGTTAAATGCTCTTTCCAGTTTTGTTTCATCTACCAATTTCATCCCTTTCACAAAATTCCATGTTTCTTCAGGTGGAATTCTCTGGGTTGATCACAACAGAAGCCTTCTTGGCAGCTGGGACCCACTGGAGTTCCTCTGAGGCTGTCACGTTGGCAGTTAGCACCGAGATGCTCACTCTGGCTGAGATCACCGCCTCGCCCCCTGTTCTTCACGAAGGAAAGGCAAGTCTGTCTGGTGTGCTGACAGCTGTCCGTCTGCCTTCCCGGGAATGACACCTCATGGCCATAGTGGCCTCGAGGCTGGGCCCTCTCAGTTACAAGGGCATTTTCCGGTGTTCCACCTCTGAATAGTCTTGCAGAAAGCCCAGGGTGGGAAAGAATACTGTAAAATTCACTGTGGGAAAAACCTATTTCTTTATGAAACAAGGTCTTTGAAACAAACAAATTAAAACACACATTAGTTCAATGATGCCACATGAGGTTTACAAAAACAGTGAATCTGCATTCTTCAAACAATAGAATAGCAGGATATGTGTTATCTGATCACGTGATTGAGGGCAAATAAACGAGCTGGGCTGAGATTTGAGCATGAGGATTATGGGCTTTCATCCTCCCCCTTGGAAAGCGTGAACTTTACTCCATCTCTGGTTTTTACATCCTCTGTACATGCTGGGGACAGACGTGTGGACACACAGTCCCCTCGTTGGGTTTGAAAATATGGTTTCTGTGGTCGCATGAGTTTGGGAAATATTGCACATTACACTCTCCTCCTGGAGATTCATAATTCACATTGCAGTATTAAAAACCACCCCCCAAAAATGCTGCAGTAAATAAACCTTTTTAAACTGGGCTTAATTGGTGATTTACAAGCTTGTTTGAGCCCAGGGCTCTTTTGTTATTTAATACCTATTACCGTCCTGCGGTATTACCACTCTAAGCGAGATTTCTTGGGAAAAGCTGTGATAAAGTTTTCTCATGGATTAAGACTGTTTGCTTTGTTTCCAGATTCCTCACTTTCCTAGTGCCGCTCTGTGGCAGGTGGCCTTGGTCACGGTGGGACCACAGGCGAGGGTGCTAGGCGAGGTTCCTTTGTAATTTTTGTCTGTGCCAAGAGACTAGTGGAACCAGAAGTCAGTTATAAAATGATGATTCCAAAAAATACTTATCCCCAGTAATGGTTTTTAAAAGAGGAAATATGATCCACAGTTTGAGCTGATATTCAAATCCTGAACATTTGAGTTCCTTGTGCAAAATAATTCATTCAGCGACCTCTGCTGATTTCTGCAAGGTGGGCTGGGATAGAACATGTGGTTCCGAGGTTGCCCGCTGGCCGCCACCCTCCTCTCCCGCACGGTGACTGCAGAAATAGATGCAGGCGCTCACCGGAGCTGGTCAGTACCTGAAAGTTACAGGGAACCCTGTGGCCCTCAGTCCTCTTGGAGCCTCTCAGACCTCATCCTGGTAAGGAGCTGTTGTTTGCTGTCTGTTCAGAAGACAGCATTCACTGACTTTCAGTATTGCTCATTCGTTCTCCATGAATGGTTGTGTTTGTGGCACGGGGTTTGGGGGGAGCTGTGTGGATCAGATGGGGAGACTCACTTTGCCGGTTAATCAGGCGGAGCTGGGACTCCAGCTGCGCGTCGGTGCTTTCCCCGTGTCCTTCTTGTACCAGTCACACTCGGCACTAACCTTGTGTGTGGGTGCCATGGAGGGCTGCCCCACACTTGCGTGCATGACATGAGGTTTTGAAAGCAGGAAGCCTTGAGTGGTGAATCGAAGTCCGAGGGAAGAGGATGGACGTAGCGGGGTCAGAAAACGAGGAATGGTAAGAAGAGCAAAGTCTGGCACGTTCTCAAGATGGGAACCAACTTACGGTAGAAAGCTGATGAGCTCTCACTCTCACACGGCCAAGCTGGATCTGAGCGAAAGGGAATGAACCCCAACTTAGAGTCTGAACTTGCTTCTTATATCCTGCAGGAGTCTCTCAACCTTTGTCATCCCTAGGACATCACTCAAAACATACCTATGTATCAGATGATAATCAGTGTTGGAGAGAATGAGGGCAAGTGAGAACCCACCGTATAAAATGGTGCAGCTACTTTGGAATACAAAAGTTAGCTAAACATAGAGATACTTTAAAAGGTGAAACAGTTACCGCATGACCCAGCAATTACACCCTTGGGTATCCACTCAAGGGAAATGAAAACCTAACATTCACCCAAAAATGTGTGTATAAAAGTATATATATACCTAAAAAGTATAAAAATACTTTTATAGCAGCATTACTCATAATGGTCAGAAGGTAGAAAAATTCCAGTATCTATCAGTTAATAAGCAGATAAACAAAATGTGGTCTATCCATATGACGGAGTACTATTCAACCATAAAAAGGAATAAGTACCAACCCAACATAGATGGACCTTGAAAACAAGCTCAGCAAAGGAAACTAGTGGCAAATAAGCCACACATTCCATGATTCCATTTGTACAAAATGTCCAGAATAGGCAGATCCATAGAGAAAGAAAGATTAGTGGTTGTTACAAGCTGGAGGCATAAGAGGAAGGGATGTTGATAATAAAAAATACAGGATCATTTTTTTGTTTTTTTGAGATGATGAAAATGTTCTAAAATTAACTATAGTGATCTATAAATCTAAAAGGCATTGAATTGTACACTTGCAATGGATGAATTGTATGGCATATAAATCACAACAAAGCTGTTTTAAATGCACACATGCACATACACACATCAATGACACGCCCTCTAAGAGCCAGAGTGTCTCAGGCCAGGGGTCCCAAGAAGAGATCAAGACTCCAGCCCTCCAAGTCTGAACTGTAGGGAAAATATCTAAGCGCATCCTCTCATAGTACCCATTTACTCTGAAAGGATAAAAAATGTTTGCACCAAAGAAAGTGAGGCTAATATTACAAACCCCAGGGTGCTCGTTCAGCAAGATCTGATGATAATTTGGCGAAGGGTTGAAAAACAGGTGAACTAAAATGCCAGCAAATACAGCTGAAGCCCTGGGCATGGAGTGGACTCTACACTTGAGTGAGTACCAGGACCCCTGGTGCAGGGCAGGTCTCAGTTCCCCCAGGCCTGCGTCCAGGTTCCCAGAGTGAGGGTGCAGTGGGCGCCCTGCCTTCAGCCTTGAAGGTCAACTGCGTGATGACAGGGAGCCTGGTGGGGGTGGGGAGGAGAAGGTAGTTCCCTAGGCTTCTGCTGTTGATGAGGGCAAGGCTGGCGAAGATGCCATCAGGCAGGGTGTGACTGTTCAGCCTCTCAGGGAGCCGGGTTTTCCTCTCTGAGTGACTAGCAAGGCTTTACCTTAGGGCTTCCTGTCTCCTGACAGGATCCCTCCATTGTTCCGTACACACCCAGGATCCAACCTTCCCGACAAGTAAACTTCATTGCCCTTGACACCTGCACCACTTCTTCACACCCATCTCCACCATGTTTTCTTGTCAAGATAATGCTTTTATCTCTTCCCCAAGAAATGAAGGCTCCCCAA